GGCCCCATAGACCCGCGCCCCGCCCCTCCTCGCCCCGCCCACCATTCGTCCGTCAGCCCTGCGCGATCCTCCATTGGCCGTACCCGCCCCACCCTGCTGCCCGTCCGTCAGCGCAGCGAAGCCCGTCATTGGCCTCATCCGTCAGGACCTACCCGGCCTTGACTTGCCCCGCCCCGCCCCTCCGTCCGACCGTCAGCCAGGCGTGGCTCGCCATTGGTTGCGCTCCTCCTGCTCGTTCCATCCGCGCTCAGATTGGCTGAGCGACCCGCCCATCAAAAGCGGCGGTCAGGCGGGGCTTCCTAGATTGGCGCGGAGGGCGGTGTCCGCCCGGGGCGCAATCAGGCGGGCCTGTTGTCGAGCGGAGCGCGGGGCGTCGGGCGGGGAGCCGGGCGGCAGCTTCCCTGAGTAGCCTGTGAAGACCCGGGGCTCGCTCGGCCACGCCACGCCACGCTGTGGAAGTTAATATACTGGAAGCCCAGCTCCCCTCTTCCACCCCAGGGGCCACTCGGCCCCCTTTCCCCCCTGCCCCCAGGCGCAGTTGCCTAGCTCCAGGCGGCCGCACTTGACCCTGACCTGAGGACGCCTCCATGGGACTCTCAGGGCCATCTGGACAGGGTCCTTCTCATGAATCCCAAAGCCCCGGCCAGGCCTATGCGGGTCCCCTTCCTGCACCCCCACGCCCTAGGAGCCCAGAGGCCCCAGTGTGTCCAGGCCACCTAAGTGGCCTTTCTGGGCCTCAGAAAACAAACGAGTCCTCCAGCCTGCCCCAAATGCAAAGCTCTTTGCATTTCAAGGTAAGGTGTGAACAAAAGTCCAAACGCAGCCCACTCCGGTTTGTAAGACTGTTATTTTTACTGGAGTGAAGCAGTTGGGTTCCCAGCCAAGTGCTTTAACCACTATGTCACCAGAGCACCTTCTAAGACGTTAATTAAAAACATCAACGCCACTACAGGCGATTTCTGTTTGGCGCCCCTGTCTGGGCTGTCCAAGGCTGGGAATCTTTAAGGAAACATAACAAACTCAACTACCAAACTGGCTGCCCTCAAGTTGACTCCTGTCCACGTGGACCCTGCAGGACAAAGCAGAACTGCCCTTTTGGGTCCCGAGACGTTCAGTCTTCACAGAGCAGCGAGCCTCAGCTTTCTCCCAGTGAGCAGTGGATGGCTTTGAACTGCTGGCCTTGAGGCATAATTCTCCAAAGATATGGGGAAAGGAATCAGTTTTACATGGCAAAACTGGATCTCCATTCCGGTAGAATGAGACAGGACCCGTATCTCACTCCACATACAGAAATAAACTCAAGATGCAATAAAGGCTTCGGTGCAAACTCTACAACTACAGAGACTGTAAATAAGAAAATAAGGACAAACTTAAAGGGCCCAAATACATGGTGTGGTAGTTAGGTTTATTGTGCCAACCTGGCAGGTTGCAGTTTGATTGGAAGGCAAAGAGATACATGGCTTTGCAAGCCGGCCCCCTACCCCCTTGCTCTGCTAATTCTCTGCCTCAACTAGTGTCGTTTTAGCTACACTATCTGTGGGCCAAGCCAACCCGTGGATCATGTCACTAGAGCTTGAGGCTCCTCTGACATGCTGCTGGTGTGTATATAGCTTGAGCTTAAGGCTGGTAGATCCTGTTGCCTTCGCTAAGCTCCTGAGCTACTGCTGTTTGCTTCCTGTGGGCAGACTGCTTGCCTCGCCCTTTGGAGGACTCCACTCTCTACTTCCTTGACCTTGGACCCAGCAGCCCATGTGAGTTGGAGGACTTCCAGTCTATTAGCTTCCACAGAAATGAGTTGAACTGAACCCTCTGTACTGCCGTGTGGACTAATTAGCTGTTATATTCCTTCTTGCTGTATAAATCTATTCTCTCCTATATAATAAGAATCCTGGTTTTTTTCTCTAGAGAACACTGCTAACATACATGGTATCAACGCGCTGTCAAACATGAGAAACATCTGCACAACCGTTGACAAAGTAGAGGGAGGCTTGGGACCTCCTAAAAAGATGTTCTGTGGGAAGAAGGCAGGCCTGCCCTGAGTCCAGGGCCCTGGGCAGTGAGGGAGCAGTCCCCAGGCATGGCGGAGCTTGAGCGGGTTAATGTCAAGGCCTGGGGATGGGGACCGAGGGTTGTCAAGAGAACCCATCAAGAGCACAAAGGGGTTCCGCTGAAGGTTCTTGCTGAGGCCAGGTCACTTGGCCCACTTTCCCTGAGTCTCACCCTTCTGAGAGAAGCGTGTCACCCAAGACTCCACCACTGCTCTCATGGCTGCCACCACAGAAACCTGGGGGCCAGAGCTGTCCCGGTGGGAGAAGTGGGTCTCCTTTCTCGTCAGCACCGGGAGCTACAAGCCTTCCTGCACCTTCTGGAGGACAATTCTCTCTGGCGGTTCCTCTCCCAAGAGCCCTGCTTCCAGATCTCAGGTAAGTATCTCCTGGCCAGGGTGCTGGTGTCCTCCAGCACGCTCCCCTGCAGCTCAGCGAGTGCGCCCAGAGCCACTTCTTGCTGGCACTGCCGCTCCCCCATGATGCGGAGGAGGGCTGGAGGACCCAAAGTGTGAGATTTTCCTGTGGGCGCTCAGTGAAGACTGGCGCCCTTGGGTGGCTGACTTCCTGCGCCAGAGGGACAGACTGGGGCCCTGGTGGACTTCCAGGCTGTCTTCAGCCGCCAGAGCTGTGAGGAGGTAATGGAGGAGCTGCCTAGAGGCCCTAGTCTCCCCTCACCAGCCCTTGGGAGGCACCTCTCTGCCATCCAGTCTTGTCTCAAGGTGGCTGTAAAACCCAGGGGTCCGGGCTTCCTCGTGGCCCCACTCACCCCACAGTACCTGCTATACCTTCCAAAGTGAGTGGGCAGGCAGGGGAGTGGGGGACAGGATGGGGAGGCAGGAGCTCCTGTCTGCGTGACCGTGTCTCCCCCACCCAACAGGCTTCCTCTCTAAGTCCCGCTCTCTCCTTCCCAGCCCAGTCCTTTCCTAGCCAAGGCTCTGCCCTGGGCTCTGACATTCAGCAGGGTGAAGCGCAGCCACCTGCTTGTCCACTGACCCTTCTTGCCGCTAAGGACAGCCCCCTGGCCCGGTCTTTCTGGCCTCAGGCTGGCAGTGCTGCCCACAATCCCCACTCCCTTTTCTCAGCCTGTACGTTGTACTCCTCTGGCCCTGGTCCGCTCGATTACATCCACATCCACAGGACATCAAGTGTACGTAGGCGCTGGCTGGCTCCTCGACCCAGGGAAGAGGGTGGGGGAGGGCTTGGTGGGGAGTGGGAACCCCAGGCTAATAGCCTTAGACCTCCGTTTCCCCTCCTCCACCACCATCACTCATGGGTGCTGAGATCCGCACAGGGCGGGTGGGCTCCAAGGAGGAGGATCGCCCGTCAGAGGCCCTGGACTCGATGGAAAACACAAAGACAAAAATGAAACTCAATCTGAAAATGGCTCTGTAGTCAAGCTAGCTGTCCCTACAGGGCCAGGTCTGCTTTGGAAGAAAACTTGATGCCCACTCCTGCCCACGATAAAATATGTCGTAGTATATAATACAACATTTCCTTTCCCCAAAAGACGATGGGGACCCAGGAAAAAAAAGTAAAAGAGGACCCACTGGGAAAAACTGGCAATGACATAGATAAGAGACTAATCTCCCAAGTCAATAGAAAACTGCAACAGTCATCAAGAACCAACAAACAAC